AATGTACGCCTCGGAGGCAAGCAGATGATTTGAAATTTACTGATTACTTAGGTGTCCTATTCCACTCACAGCAACACATGGAGATAAAGACGATAAGTGCAGTAACAGTCAATGCAGCATTAGTTCACTACATGTACAAAAGAATATTGCAGATCCTGAGATATGGTACTGCATGCACCGATCAAATCAACTTCGATGGAGTAGTTTTTGAAAAATGTGGAAACTTTTCATATTTCTCAGTAGCATCATTGAGAAACAAGGAGAATCTGATGCAGATATCCAAGCCAGGATAAGCAAAGTAAGCACAACATTTTCTTCTTCATGAGAAGGCACTAACAATTATCTTAGAAATTTAACATGATCAAAATGAATCAGAAATTATATAGTCTGCTGTAATCAATATTTAAAGAAAGTTAAACGAATAAAATGTCACTTACTTACTTTTTTACATACTTACTTAGGCCTGTTACCCTCAATGGAGCATAGGCCGCCCACCATTTCTTGTCCAACCAACTCTGGCTTCACTCTCCACTTTTGTAAAATGTTTGTTCATTCTTCTCATATCTTTCTCTCTATTTCTCGGCGTAATGTGTTCCTTGACCTTCCTCTTTTCCTCTCACCTTGAAGGTTCCATGTGAGGGCTTGTCTTGTGATGCAGTCAGGTGCTTTTCGTAGTGTGTATCCTATCCACTTCCACCGCTTCTTCCTCAATTCCTCATCCACTGGAATCTGGTTTGTTCTCTTCCACAGTACATTGTTACTGATCATGTCTGGCCAACGAATCCTTGTGATGATACTTTTTGTGACCCAGAAAATCGTGACATGTTGAAGTGATTGCCTTATTGATCCCTTTCCAATTGTTCGCAAATGTTGCTTCGTCTCCATTGAGTATATCATGCAATGTGATTTATATAAATTCAGAATAAACGCAAAATAAACAGTCAAATTTTCAAAATCATTTTTAAAAAGTTCTAAAGTATTTTAAGAAATTAGTGAACATTTGTAGCTTTGATAGATGATGATTGTTACGAATTTTTTTAATGTGATTTGGATAGTTTGATCGTGGAGCTTTCATTATTCTACTGAACAACAACATCATCAGCAGAAACTTCATGTACACATGAAGTATTAGATTATGACTCGTAGCCTTTCCTGTCGACTACGATCTTGATCGATTGGGGGACCCATCAGCAGTGCGCATTATTCAACTCCAACCACTCACAGAAATCGAACCCAAAATACTCGGTCTTGCACACCAACGCCTAACCTCTTGAATGTGCACCGATGATTAAAGGAGAAGTTTAAATATGAATTGTCTAAAAAAACCATCTAGTTGACTGTTTTCATCATTAATTCGACTACTGTTGTAGAAATGACGTTGAACTTCTTGAAATTCTAGGGAATTAAAATTGTCTTGATTGTGAACACCCTTTCTGTTATGTTCGTAACTAGGTATGCTTGAAGTGATTATACGAGTTCACCTTAGTCGATAAACGCGAACGAGACAATGAAACAGCCTCCAGAAAGGCTACCTTGAATCCCAAGCTGTAAAACAGAAGGCCTTTGTAAGCGTAGAAAGTATATTTCTACAAACACCCAGCAATCACAATACAATCAAGCACACAATTCTCGTTTATTTATACATCATAGAAACGTCCTTGGGACAGTCACAATAAAATAGCACACTAAAATACACAGTAGCTATTTTCCTGGTTGGAAATGAAATCTCAAGTTCAACTGATCATTCCATGCTGGAAAAACGTGAAATCCAAATTTAAGGCATTTAACAAGCGAGTCTTTTTGGGGATCTAGCAACCTCAACCCTTTCAATTTGGTTAGTCAAATGACTAAGGAACGAAAAGAACAATTCAATATTGAGCTATTTAGTAAAACAAATAAATCTTTGCTCAATGATTTATCGAGTTCATTAATTATTTTTTCTTGCTAAAATCATTTCAACTGTGTTATAAATCTCTGTTTGTAAGACCCAGTTATTCCTGTTGCTTAGTTATTCTCTAACAACAATACACACGACAAGTCCCCAAATCATAACACGGATGAACAGGAAGTAGATTATATTCCAAATAGCAAAGTAAGATGGAAGTAAGAAGCCGTCATAGAAGACAATGTTAGATTCTTCACATATTTCACATGAGAATCTTGTGGAATCAAATCCACGTGATCGACTAGCGCTGACCGACTAGATGTATAGCCAATCCGCGTGCAGCTAACAACACGAGTATCGATCTGCAAATATCGATCAGGTGCTGCGAGCAGCTAACGCAATCATGCTTTATACCACCATCTATTATGTCCCACTAACAAATTGTAAACTCTTCAGAACAACAATGTGAATGGAAAAGCTGAAACAATGTTAAAGTCCGAAAAAATTAAAACAGATACAATTCTTTCTCCTAGTGCTGTTAGTCACTGCAAAAGCATAATTTACCAGTGTTTATTTATAAAAAGTTTTCAACTACTTAGTCTATCTGACCCAATATTTATTCATTGCTTTGTAATGTAACAATTTAATCTGTAAAGGAAAACCTATTCAAACTTACATTGATGGCTGTGTGAGACTCTTCAGACTTACACTTTGTGTAAGAATCGAACTAAGCACCTGCTGCAGTCTTGTATGCACTTGCCTACTAACCTCATGACCAATGAATAGTAGTAGGGGTATACAATGATGTGAACTTCTATTAATCTATCGAACTGTCTATGGCAGATAACACTGTCTCCACTCCTTATTCGACACAGATTGAACTGCTGCACTAGTAATGCACTTCATAATAGAATTCTAGGAATACACCTCATGATACTGGTCATCAATGGAGAATATATTCTTCTTTCTTATAGTAATATAAAGCACTAAAAGACAGCCATTTCGTCCTGGTACTGGACTCGTCAGCAGTGCGCATACACGACTGCTGCACCCCGCAGGATTCGCACCCAGGACCTTCGGTATTGTAGGCGAACGCCTAACCACCGGACCTCTGAGCCGGTATCTAACGGTGTTAATGTAGGTAGGACAAAGGTGGATGAATAGACTTCAAATAAACATTAAAAAAACATCAAAACCATTGCGTAATAAGCAAATGCATAAAAATAAAAATGAAATAAGATAATGTCTATCGTTAGTTACGTCATATTCGGCCACGGAAGAGATATGAGTGTGACGAATTTCTTCTTCTGAACACATAAATTGGAGTTGTTCTAATTTTCACAATGTGGGGATCCTGCTGCATTTAAGGCACTCAATGAGTTCTTGAAGTTTAATACGCGTCTCACAGAAGCCAAAACGAGATTAGGATTTGCTATTAACTGTATTCAGTCTAACAGATATCCGAAAGTATATTGGAAGTCATTGAGTCGGAACAGAATCTATCCTAATGCAAAAACTCTTGTAAGACATGCGTCCAATGAAATTGATACCTTAAAAATGAATATCCGAGACTTGAAAAGGAATCTTCTTCTCAGACAACATTCCGTAAATAGCCTGTCATCGGAGATTTATTCAATATTTATGGACTATGTCGAAAAAGTATCTAAGAACAGATCTGAGAAGACTATGGAGAAAACTAGTCAAAACTCTGGAAAATCAAAAACCTGAGAAGGAATTTCCTCTTGATCCGACTCAGTATGTACATAATTTTTCAAATATTGTACTTAATGATATACAGTTAGAAGCTTTGTACCTGGGGCCTAAATTTTGTGATAATGGGCAGAATCCCAATCAACTAGATACTGATGTGCAGTTTGAGAATTTGTTTTCACAAACAACTGACCTTGTCCCCCCTACCTCAGTGTAAGATGTTGCTAGATTTAAGACAACGTTGGTCGATAGCTGCCTAAAGTGTAAGAATAGTAAGCGTCCTACGAATCGCCTTTTCACTAAACTGCACCGTGTGGCTTTAACTTAACTCAAAAAAGATGAAACTTTGATCTTGAGCAAACCAGACAAGGGAAGAGGTACAGTAGTTCTTATGAATAAAACTGATTACATACATAAAATGGAAGGAATACTGGATGATCCTAGCAAGTTTCAAAAAGTCACCAGTAATAATGATATCAATAAAACAGTGGAAAATCAATTGACGAATTCTCTCAAGGAATTAAAGAAAAAAGGGTATAATTACGATTGAAATTCACGATTTAATTAAACCTACTGGATCCTACACACCACAACTCTACGGTTTACCGAAAGTTCATAAATCCGGTCTTCCTCTACGCCCGGTCCTAGATTTGTTCAATTCTCCGCACCATAAAATTGCGAAGTGGTTAGTGAGAATTTTAGAGCCTTTACATATATCAATTTTGCGATGAAATGTAAAAGACGTTTTTGAGTTCACTTCCAAGATAGAACATATGAATGTTAGCAGGAAAAATATGATCCCAATGGATGTTTTATCTTTGTTTACCAACATACCACTACTTGAGACCATCGAATTCATATGCGAGCAAATTAAGGAAAAACAAATCAACATTGGC